GTGCAAGGACAGTTTCCAAGTGGAGGTCTCTTCTCGCAGACCCTCAGTACCACCACACTGTAACTCCAGCTTTTATTGGCACATTCCTCACTGGACGCCACACACTGTACTTATTATTAGTCTTAGGACATCACATACAGTATCTGAGGCAACTCGCGCGCACACACACATACACACACACATAGAGAAAAAGTTATTTATTTATGCTACAAATATGAAACTGTTCTTGCATGTCCCCCCTGCAGAGAAGTGTGAGTGCCAAGAGCAAAGTCTGACCAACAGCAAACTCTTTTGCACCATGAATTATGCATACGGTAAGCATTCAAACATCTCCAAACATGCACTGTAACTCATGTAAGCCTGGCTTTACCTGATTAGTTTAATGCATTTAAATGTAAATCATCTATTTCACTGTATTTATGTCTAACATTGTTATACTCATGCTCATTGATTCAGTCTGTCTTTGTATTTTAATTATACGTACTTTATTTATCCCACAAGTTGGTAAATGAATATGTTACAGCAAACAAAACATTAAACAGAACCTGTAATAAAATGGTTCATTAAAAAATTACAAAAACAAAATAAAAGTCAAGATTTTTTTTGTTTGTTTTTGAAGATTTATTTTGGGGTTTTTTTGCCTGTAGCTTGCATTGAGGACGTTAGCTAAAAGCAGTAATTAGCTAAAAAGTGGAACGCACATCATAAATGGCAAACTTTTGCCTTCAAACTAAATGTTACCGCTGAAACCAAAACCTTTCAAAAGGTGCAGCTTTTGTTTTGAAGACGAATCTTTTCCATTTTTAGTCTGCTGTTCGCTTCTCAGAGTTTCACTACTGCTTAGAGGGGTAGGCAACTCCAGGCCTCGAGTGCCAATGTCCTGCAGGTTTTAGATGTGTCCTTGATTCAACACAACTTACTCAAATGGCTAAATTACCTCCTCAACATGTCTTGAAGTTCTCCAGAGGCCTGATAATGAACTAATCTTTTGATTCAGGTCTGTGGACCCAGGGTGATATCTAAAACCTGCAGGGCACTGGCACTCGAGGCCTGGACTTGCCCAACCATGGCTTAGAGATTAGTTGGCAAGTGTTTGCAGACAATTTGGCATCTTTTTTGCAAACTTCAGGCAACCACCCTGTACCCTGTTAACTCTTCTTTACAAATATAAAGACAGCATACAAGAAAAATAATTAAAACAAGCAAGAGCCTGATGTTTACCTTTAGTTGCTCAGCTGATATTTGTCTGCTCATGTTCACTACCTAATCCAGGTCAAATCATTCACAGCATTTGCATTCTGTTTAATGGGCAGCAGGGGGCGACTCCTCTGATTCCAAAAAGCCTTAACCCTCGCTCCGTGACCTCTAAAAACACTTTCCAGTTGAGTTTATGATCTTAGTTTCTAGTTTAAGGTCACACTGAATAAAACCTGAAGTTAATTTTATAAATTATGGTCATTATTAAAGTCACAAAGGAGGAAAAGCCTAAGTTGGCTAACGAGTTGTTAGTCGTGCTCACCTTCATGAATGTCTGAAGAAAGCATCACAATTCACTTTGTTTACTTTAAAAAGTCCCAGCATTCAGAGGAATGATTAATTCTGCTCCAGCCCCTTGGGGGGGGGAAGAAAACCTGATCTGAGTTTCAAACTGATCAGATTAAAACTTTGTTTGAAGTTCATCCAGTAACCAAACTTTCCACGACAGCCTCCTTCCATGGATCACGTTGTTTTATCGCATTTTAATGCAGAAAGCAGTTGTTCTGGTGTAACAACACTCCAGCTCTGAAGGTCTTGTTGCATTTCTCCCTGACTTCCAGTGCTGAAGGTGAGAGTGCTAGCAGCTCACGATAAGGGCTCCCATGCTGAGGTGGAGGTCAAAGTTCAGAAGGTACTCAGTCAGAACACCAAAATGAAGATACAGCGCAGTCGCGTCACCCTTTACCCCGAGTCCTGGACCGCACGGGGCTGCACCTGCCCTATCCTCAATCCAGGCAAGAATCGCACATCCAACTTTGTTCATTGGTAACATCCAAAATGTGCTTAACCCCTCTGACCTCTCCTCACAGGCGTGGAGTACCTGGTGGCTGGCCACTTGGATCGTAAGCGGGGCCGCTTCCTGGTCAACATGAAGAGCTTTGTCAAGCCTTGGAAAGCAAGTTTGGGCCGCAAAGTTCTCACTTTACTCAAGAAAGACTGCAATTGGTAGATGGGTAATTTAGAAAAACAGCACCGGAGGGACAGCTGACGTGACGGATGTTGGTTTCCCATCTTCTAGGTGTGGATTATTGGGTCGCACAGGTCTGAGAGCAGGTTTTTAAGGGACGGGGACTAAGATTGAGGCCCTACCTGTTTCCACTGCCGAGAGCTCAAAGCTAGTGGCAGACTGCACAAGCTAAAAGCACACAGGACGCAATTTCATTAAGACACGTCCATCTCGCATCTGTCTCTAATTCTTGCATTCTCATATAGGAGTCAAGAAAATGTTTTCTTTGCTGTCGCTGCTGCAGCTCAAGAATTTCAGCAGCATGTCCGAGAACTGAGCGACACTTTCTCCTCCTCTGCAGCACTTTATCCTCAGAAGGACAGAAGGAGGGAATATGGACACACAAACAGAGGAGCATTAATAATACAAACTCGCACACACGTAAAACCTTCCTTTTTTTTGTTTGTTTTTTTTACAGTGGACACACTCACAGAGGCAGCAAGTGTGTGTGTGCTGCAGACACAATGTGCGAAGTGTGACGCTGAACAAGCCATACAAGCCACTACAGGTGGTTAAATCTTAGCCAGTCCAGGTGTGCCTGTGTTGAAATCAGAGCGACTGGATTTCACCCCAATCGTGAATGTATTTGTCTGTGTGTGTGTGTGTGTGAGAGAGAGAGAGGAAGAGAAAGAGAGAATGTGGTTGAATGCAGCAGTACATATATATATATTATGAGCACAGTCCAGATTGAGTCCAGCTCTTAAGCTTTTCTATAGTTTTCAACCGTTCCAATGTTTATAATGCAGAACGCTGTACATTAATTTCGCTCATATTTACACTCAGAAATCAGAAAACGTGTTATTCCTTCCTTTTTGTGCTCATGTACAGTATTATTTTGTATATATCTATATAAATATTATGCCATATCTTTCTCCAGTTGTTTTTTTTTTTCATGGTAATATTAAAGGATAACTTCAAATTTCGTCTTGTTTTTGTCACTTAGCCATCGTTTATCAGCACTGATAAGCCTTCTGATAAACTGCAGCGCCTTCAGAAAGCCTACAGAGGCAAGAAACACACGATTGGGGCCAAACGAGCAACACCTGCGCTTACCAGTACAGTTTGCAAAGTGATGCAATTAAAATTGAGGCCCCTCGTGAGAAATAATTTTCCACTGTTTTGCTATTTGAAGATAAAACTGACCCTGAATGTGATCCTGTTTGAAAGTCTGACACAAGCAACTAATAAACACGGGAAGTAAAATCTGTCTATAAAATCAAGCAGCTGTAGTTCAGACAGGTCATGAAGTCAAGCTCAGCTGCAAAACCTGGCACTTCATCTGATCTCGTATGCCAGCCCGCATCACCTCATACCTATCTTCACATCCAACTGGCAAATCTTAAGATTCAGTGTCTTGGCAGCATCCCAAAAATAGGCTGCCGAGGTTATTAGAAAGAAAGCTCTAAGGGATATTTGAGTCTGCCTTTAAAAGTGAGTAAATCCCCACAAAGTCACATGTTAACATTCCCGACTTTACATTTTTGGGATCTATAGATGGTTGAATGTTTGCATAAATCCATGTGAAGTTTTAGTGACTGATTGTGTTGTATGTTATTGTGCCTTTACTGTGCCTCTGCATTGCTCTCCTACAGTTTACAGATGATATACTGATTTAACTAAATAACTTGGCAGTTAACTCTTGGGTCCAAATATGGCAACTTAAGCCTCCAATAAAACCAATGTGGTGGTTTACACTTTAACTAAGGGTGTTTTTATGCCTATGGTTAATTTACTCTGGTCCAAATCAGTCGATAAATAAACTTGCAGTATTTTCCCCGTCGTTTAGTTTCAGGATGAAGATGGTGTGTTCTGGTAGAAGTGGATAACATGGAGCAATATCTCCATTTGTATGTCTGGTGTACTGTTGAATCTCAGAATGGAAAGCTGGTCATGGGAAGGCATTTAGCTCAGACTTGCAGGGTCAGATTGAGGTCGGATCACTCTCTCACCATAAATTAACCGCTCTGGAGTTTATCTAAGTCGTCTTATTGTAGTTGTTTAGGTTCACATCTGCACAAACAAAACGCATCAAGGGGGGAAATGAAGAAGGCATCAATTGTGCATCAAAACACCTTCAGTCTCTCTTTTATGTGCAGTCTGAGAGGCAGAGAAGGCAGGTCCCAAACTGAACTTTTCTCTACCAATGAGAGTGAAGGATACTGTTCACAGATATATGATCGGGGTACATTGGCAGTTGGAGCGATGCATGATGACCAAAATCAATGTTATTGCTTCCCAAATGTGTAAAAGAAAACTGACAAGAACAAGAATTAAAACGGTGATGGACAAAACTGCAACAAAGTAGAAAAACTGTCTTGTTGAGCAACCTCCGTTTGCTGCTGAAGCCTTGCTGCTGACGCGCATATTTTCAACAACAATCGATACGACTGCCAAGACCTTGAAATACTTCACATAAACGGGACAAAAATATCCTTATCACACTGCTCTCTTTCCCACACACACGCCTCCTGCTCCTCTCCCTGTGTCCCTTCGCATTAAGTCATCCATCACTCCTGCTCCCAAAACACTCTCCCCTACATTTGCACAGCACTGCAGAATGTAGACCACAACAGAGGCGCCGGGGCCGGCGCACACACTCCGTTTGGCTGTAGACTTGGTGCGTGTTTTCCACTCGCCATGACGTGGTTGGCTGAGAGGTGTGGACACATTCCTGGCGCGTCAAGCAGAGCACCGTGGCAGGTGGGGTCAAAGGTCGCTCACCTGTCTACCTATCTCACCTCAACAACAAGAGGTGAGAATGAGTGGATATTTTCTCACAGCCAAACCGGATAGCCTCTTGGACCCACATTTCCCCCGTTTGCGGCCCATTCACAGATTTGTGGCAGAGGGGTCACGGCTCCACTGTTTCCAGACAGCGGGGTAAGGGGTGAACGAGTGCATACGCTAAGAGGAATGTGACCACGAGAACTGCCACAGTACAAGTAGGGAGATATAGATTTACTTCCTTTTAATGTTAAATTGGACTTTATATATCACAGCATTTATTTTGCATTAGCGTGTGTTACCAATTCATACGTTTGGATAGGATTTAGGAGTATCTATTTGAAAAATAAGATTCATTTGCAGATACAATAATTCAAGGATTCAAGGAGCTTTATTTGTCATTCGCATCACATGTTAACATAAGGTGGACCAAAATTATGTACACACAGTCCCGGACAATGAAGAAACGGATTTTTTTTTTAAAGTAATAAATATTTGTTTTGTTTTTTTAACAAACAGAAATGACATGAAATAACACAAAACAATAAATAATACTATAACTGATATAATATAATAATAATTATGAACCCAAGGTAGTAGTATAGAAGCAGAAAAAAATAAGTCAAAATGTATAGTTGCTTTCTCAGTTTTAACTTATTTTCTCGGAAGTTTGAGTTAGTAAGTCCAGATTTTGAGATAATAAGATGAAATTTTGACTCATGGATGGCAACAGTTTTTGTTTTTTATTTTTTGCAGTGGCAGAAAAAAGATTCAATACAACAAGCAGATGTAAGTGCACTAAGCAAAGAGAAAACACAAACATTGAAAGGTAAAAATAGCGTAAAACACACAGGTTAATCAATAAAATGACAATAAAATACATAGAAGTTAAAATAATTATGTAAAACAATGAGTTAAAACTAATAGAAGCTAATAAAAATAATAGAGCAAAAAGTGATAAAATAAGCAGAAATTTGGTAAAATTATATTAAAACCAGAAATAAGGAAACACATCAAATACAGTCACCTTACGGTGCTTTACACTGTAAGGTGATAATCAACTCTGAACGTGCTTTTAACAGGAAGAGTCCAGCGTTGAAACCAGGCTCAGAGAGGGGCAGTTGTGATTTTAATGCCTTTTTCATCCCAGTGTGCTAAAAAAAATTAACTGAATTTACAGAAAAGTAACAAAAAGAAAAAGAACAAATGGAAAAGCTCTCATAAACGTTTTTAATAGTCTTTTCTGCCCTCCCACTAAGCAAGCTTACTTCTAATTGGTTGCCCCTCGTAAGCATCAAGTATGAGCAACATGGGTGGGTGGAGCATCTGTGCTCAAAGCCAGAATGATTGCCGGTTCACAGTATGTGTACTTGTGTGTACTGGTGTTCTTGTGTAGTACTGCAGCTCAGTACAGAAGTTAAATTAGACCAACAGTGAATAATATGAAGCCGAAATAAGGTAGGTTGGTACATGGCTTCAAGGAAAATAAACAAAAACGACACTGAATATGTCGTTTTTTGACTATGACGGTATTACACCAACCTCAATTTAAGTGAAATTCAGTTTTTCATTTTTAAAAACTGTGTGTGAACTTTTTCCCACTTCTAAAGTGACACAAGCCAAAGAGAACTTTGAGAACTGCGGGATTAGACAGTGAAGGAGGTGTTTGTGGGAACTGGCCTTGAAGTGTAGACGCAATAGGAAGCCACAAACACGTGCACTGCTGCAGCTGAACCATGGACCCCCCCCCCCCCCCATCCTTCTTGCTGGTTCTCTCAGTCATTGTCCCAGGACTGACTGGCCATTCTCAGCCTGCGATGGAGATGTCCTACAGGGGGGTTGCATGCTGTGGGAAACTAGTTGATGAATGAGTGTTTGGCATGCTTGCATAGATGCATAGTTTGCTCCAGTATAGTTTGCGTGTGTGTGTGTGTGTGTGTGTGTGTGTGTGTGTGTGTGTGTGTGTGTGTGTGTGTGTGTGTGTGTGTGTGTGTGTGCACGCACACGTTATTGTAGTAATACTGAATACATGCATATGTGTGTGCCTGTATGAACACAATGCCTCACTTGTGTTGCTATAGAAGTGGAGTTATGGCCTTTGTCCTGTCAGCATTCTTGTGTTGCTGTTGGCTCTGGAGTGCATGGCAGCTCCCGCAGGCTTGGGGACAATAACACCCCCCACCAAACACATACAACCCCCCCACCTTCCCTTCCTCACTTGGAGTCACAATGCGCCTCTTGGGCAGCACCCATCACCCTGAGACAAACAAAAATGGCCTGCTCAGGGTGTCAGAGCAATATCCACCCAGAGGACCACGGGTATTAAAGGAGGCCAATTAAGTTTAAAAATATTTCCTCCTATAAATGTACAGTTACAGTGGTCTAAGAAATTTAAAAGAGATATGCAGTTTTCTTTGCATTAAGTCAGTAATTAAAAAGAAACTGATGCAAAATACTTTGTCCAATAACCTGTGTGGCCAGACTGCTTCCAGCTGACAGGAATGCAACAGTAACACAAATAAGCACTCATTAGGTTCAGAACTCAATAACATGAAAGCATGGATCCATCCTGCTTCGTATCAGTGGTTCAGCCTCCTGGTGGTGGTTCCATAGAGAGTAAAGGCACTTCAGAAGGCAGAAGGAGGTCCAACATGATACTATTAGGAGTACCTAATGAAGTGACAGGAACTTGTAAAGTGGATGTTTTGGGCTCCACACTGAAGCCTCAGCATTAGCCTTTTGGCAGAACTAACTATTTCTGGATAAAAGGTTGGTGAGCTTAAATCTGTAAACTGCAGGGGTGCAACACCCACAAAGTCACATCCTTTCATAGCTAATTAGTGCTAAAAACAAGAAATACTAGTTTTAATTACCAAAACTGAAGCATAAACTTCATGGATTTTCACAGGAATATTAATCAACTCAAAATTCTCCATTAGGCTCCAACAGCAACAAACACATGCACACAGACAGTGTGGAGGTCCACTTTAATGATGAGAGATAGTGGAAGTGAGGCCTACTGATTGGTTCCAGCTTCCTGTGTTCACAAGTCTGCTTATTTCATGGAATATTTTATTTTCACATTTCTGTTTTGTTTTATTGTTTGTTGCTTTTTTTTAAATAATATATTAGCCCTATGTCTGTGTCCTTCGACTGCTTGGTCTTTTACAGTAAT